TTCTGGGCATAACCTGGAAAAAGTAAGCCCTGTAATACAGATTTACTTTCCACCTTACATGTAATGTGGTTTATTCTTTCATAGTACACTGGAACTCTAATAATTTTGTGTGTTTAGGGTAAAATCTAAATTTTTGATGAGTTAGACATAATTAGATATGTATGTAGAGGGGCTTCCCAGGTGGTGCTAGTGGTAAAGAACCTGCCTGCCAGTACAGGAGACATAAGAGACACGGATTTGATACCTGGGTTGGGAAAATGCCCTGTGCATAGCAGTCCACTTCGGTATTCTTGCTGGGAAAATCTCACGGACAGAGGAGCCTGGTGGGCTATAGTCCATAGGGTCGCATGGAGTCAGAGACAACTGAAGCGACTTAGCATGCACGCGGATATGTAGAAAGTCATTTACCAATAGGATTTTCTTGTATTGTGATACTGTTTTTGAAATTAAAATGTTAATTTATATGCAGCAAGTGCTGTAAACGTGCCTTAGAGAAAGTGAGAGAAAACAGTCAAAGGTGGGAACAGTCTGTTATACAAACATATACAATTATATAGATAATTTTTAGTTTTTTTAAATATAAATTCCCTTCACCTAATTTTCCTCCCATTTTAAGGCCCTAGTGAAGTATTTATGGGTATAGGACTTGGAACTGTTCTGGAGCCTTTGAAATGCCAGATTGAAGTAAAGTTATGCTTTTGTTCTATTTATGGAAAAAGCCCTTGAATTGAATTTTCTGGTGCCTTTAAAAGCATATCTCTTTGAAATATGATCAATTAATCGTAATAGCTTTTACATATAGAATAGCTCACCCAACTCTGGAACTGTCTGGGGTGGGCCATATATCTAGTTAGCTAGGTGAAATGGCAGTGAGCCTCTATCTGTATAACTGTAGACAGTTACCAGTAAGATGTAGGCTGATTATAGTGTTAAGACAGTTTGGGAGGTAGGAGTTTCTGTCTGAAGTTTGAGTTATGAGTTAACTGTTCTATTTGACATTTATTTTTATTTGATCTGAGACTGTTTTTGAGCTCTCTTACTTTGGGTAGCAAGCAAGAATATTTCCTAAGCAATTAACCACATTGTACTGAGTATGGAGAAATCTTCTTTCAGCAACCTTTGGGCTTTGTAGGGGATACTTTTCTCATGCTGACAGAACACTGATTATTATAGAAGGAACAAAAATTATGAAAAAAATCTTTAAAATTTAAAATAGATTTACCAGCAAAGAAAAGGGCAGAAGTTGAATCTTTAGGTCAGTATATATAGGTAATATTTTAGAACTCTAGCATTTACTAAATAGTTAAATTTTCATGTTTGAATATTTCAAATTCATATAGGATTTGAAATTTGGTCAGCAAGTTGATAGTAATTCTTAGCAGGCATGAATGATGGCTCTGAGCTATGAAACTAATCTTATTATCTCAAAAGGTACCCTCCTCCCTCCCTTAACCAATTCTTCTTAGGACATATTTTCATTTTAAAATGTAGTTTATCAAAAAAGATTTACTGTGTATTTATTTTTGAAGATTAGTTTAAGAATAACTGTAATACTGAAATACTGTGATAAATACATATTTCTGTGACATCTAAAAATGAAACATTAAGTAGATTTTTATTTAATAATAGCATGACTTGTATACATATTTCTGTATATCTAAAAATGAAACATTAAGTAGATTTTTATTTAATAATAGCATGACTTGTATGTTACAGTAATAAAGACTTTAAAATTTGACTGTAGGAAATTATTTTAATTAAAATGTATGAAAGTCTAAAGCTCTGGCTCTGAAAATCATCTTGTTGCTTACAGTATAATGCAGCCTAGTAATGGCACTTTTGTGGTCTTTTTATTTTTATATAAAAATCACAGTGTCATTATTGGCCTTCTCTGCACCTACATTTAAAATCAAATAAAAACAATTTTGAATATATTCTCATATTTTCAAAAATATAACAGACTTTAATATAAATGCTTTAAATTTGTATGTATAATCAGAAAGCTTTAGTCCTGGATTTGCTTTTAGTCTAGATTCTTCAAGAAAAATCCTTTGTTAAGACAGACCAAACTGCTGAAATGAAATAGCTCAGTGAAAATGAAATTTGCAAGTAATCTCTTAATATCAAATGCATATGGCTTACTCTGAGGTCTGGATATAGATCAGGTTCATAGAAAATGTCATGAATTTTCCATTAAGGCACAGATGGTAAGGGCGCTTGTCAGATAGCAAAGGCAGTCTTCATATTTTCATAATAAAATGCTACCAGACAATGACAAGAATAGAGGTTTTTTTTTGGTCTTCAATAGGAACAAAGCTTTCTGCTTGGGTGTTATGGTAAAATATTCACATTGTATCATAAGAACATGTATTATTAAATGAAAAGATCGCGGAAACCTACCTCCCGTCTGAAAGGCTGCAGTTGAAGCGATGGTACCCTCTGTTTGTAATGCATTCTGGTGCACAGCTGAGATGGAGCTGCGCTTCTATTGGCTGAGCCACAGGCAGCTGACGGTTCCCTCCGTGTTCATTTGCGTTAAGTCCTGCCACCCGAGTAAATCATTCATAAGCTTGAATAGAGCTGTCTGGGTTCTCAGCGGTCACCCCCTCTTTAGGCCTCATTTGTTGTTGTTGTTTTTAAGCTAAATTTCTGCATAGGAATTTGTGAGTAACAAATTGATGATTCCTTAGTGTTTAGCTGTAGAATTTCTGATCCTTCGGTGGTTATTTAAGGGCTCAGGCTAGAAGCTAATCTCCAGAGAGGCAGTAACCTGGGAAACCAGCAGTCCAGGTTCTCCAGCGTAGTGTTTCCTCCACGAGTTGTGCATGTAATCTCATAAATGATATTCTCTTTTCTCTTCTTTCAACTTGCCATTTCTATAAATCAGACTCTCTGGAAGGGATTATTTCCATGTGGTAGTTTGCTGTAGATGAAATTCTGAGGGAGAAGAAAAAGAAAAAAGGTTTTTATCTCTACTAGCTGAGAGAGGGTTAACTTTGGAAGGTACATCAGCGATACTAAGAAAACCGTCTGTGAAAGTTAAATTGCAAAAGAACCCTCAGTTGGATGTTCAGAGATAGAATGATGTTTCTATTATGGTTTATTAGAGTTGTGGTCTAAGTGTAACAGTCAGGTTTTATCTGTGAGAGTGGCCATTAGAACAGCAGCAGGCTGGGTTAGTGCTTGCTGTGCAGACTTATTTTTTAAAATTTTGAATAAGTCACATTTGTTTCTAAGACTAGTAAAGGAGTATGTGGAAATAATCTTATTACGTTCATTTGTTCAGTCAACTAATATTTATTGTTTACTACTCCTGGCGTTAAGCACTGGAGACCTTGTAAACAAAACTGTATATGCTTCATGATTGACCATTTGCATGGTGCTTATCCTTAGCATATTGTCCTTAGCTATTCATAGTCTTCCCAGTTAGTTGTTTATTTACTATTATAGGATGAATGTATTACTTTAATAAGAATTCACTAAATATGTATTTATGAATTCCTGTTTTCTGATAAAATATCCAGTTGGAAATGGAATAATCGTGTTAAATGCTGACTAATGATTCTTACACCAGGCACTTCACAGTTTACCACTGGATTAGAATCTTTAGTCTGCCACTTATTAGTCTGTTTTCTTATGTTCAAAATGAGACAGTAAAAACCTTTTAAATAGGATTTCTGGGAGGGATTAAATGAGAAAACCATTTTAGCATGACTCTTGGCAATAGTCAGTGTTCAGTGAAGGTTAGTTACTGCTGTTTGTTATGAGTGTCCTGAACACCTTGGGAAAATGAACTGCATAGGAAGTATATCATAATTGAAATAGCAAATGTGAAGGCACACCTGTAAGGCATTCTTAATGTTATTTCAGAAAAGATAAAGTAGACTTTAATGTGTCAATTAAGTTATATTAAAGTTGTAGCAGTTATTCTGAAAGGAAAATTGCATATGAGGTTTCATTTTAGTCTAAAAAAATCATATTCAATAAAGCCTTTTCACTAACTAATCTCAAAGGAATATTATGCTGCCTTCTAGAAGCTGTTCTTTTGGATCTCTGACAGTTGTTCCATTTGACTTGCGGTTATTCTAATGCATTCTTTTGTTTAAATTATTATTACCAAACTGGTGCCAGAAATTGACTCTCCCCGCTTTTATTTAACCTCTTCCATTGTGGATCAGCCACATGGGAACTTTATAGCATGTGATCTGATTCCTTGCTAATAGATTGTGTGCTTCTGAAATGTCTTCCTAGTATTTACAATGAATTTTTCGCTCTTGCTACCTATGACTTGTAGAATGCATTTGTGATGCAGTGGTAGCATTCAGATTTCTGCCTGTAAATATGCAACAGAATGGTGTATGTTCTGAACCGAATGATCTGTATAAATTGCTCCTTGCATCATGCTGCTGTCATTTTAAATTAGTTTCCATGTTTATACAGTGGTACTGCTTACATTTTTTATTCCAATATATCTCTGAAGTTGACTTTAAAATAGTTATGGGATCATGCTTTTTAATAATTCCCATTGACCAATACCTATTTGTTTTACATTGATAAGCAGAAATGGATGTAATTGGTGATAAATTGAACTTTTTATCCCTTACAAGTAATCTACTCACTTCTCATGGTTTTTAAGGTTGTTAGAAAAGCACTATGGATCAGGTTGTGATTTGTATTGTCCTCTTGTTTAAAAAACCTTCCTTTTAATTTTGGAGGAAATCTAGTCAGACTTAAGGAAAGTGAGATTAAAGGTGCTTATAAAATAAATATATTCTAATGCTTTTGAAGTATTTATACTTTGTTTCCATCCTCAGAAAATAGATAGTTACTACACATGTAAAGATTTTGAATTTATCACCAAAATTTCACAGGGTGGAATTTTCTAGATAGGAAAACTCAATCAATATTTTACCAGATTTAAAATCATCTTAGCTGCTTAAAAGTAGATAATCACATCTAATATGAAAATGTTGTGATTGTTTCTTGAACTTCATTTTCAGATCATAGCAATGGATCATTTAATTTGAAAGCTCTATCAGGAAGCTCTGGATATAAGTTTGGTGTTCTAGCTAAGATTGTGAATTACATGAAGGTAAGTACTTTTCTCAACTAAGAAAAATTCTTTTGGTTTTTGGCAGAAGAGGGGGATTGGAATTTTCAGAAGTAAATTTGTATATACAAGTCAAAATTTATCAAATTGTATGTTTCAGTATGTGGTTTATTGTATGCCTGTTATACCTCAGTAAAACTAAAAAAAAATTTAACGCTTCAAGCTTTTTACGTTGTAGCAAGTTAGCTTTGCAGTGAGTCATCTAAGTATATTTTATTTACAGTATAGAACGTTAGTTGAAGTACACAGTATGAGCCCACCATTTCACTTAATAAAATTGTGCTCAGGCAGTAGAGATAGCCATCTCTTAATTAGTCAATACCTATTGGCAAAAGCAGTGAAAAAATGTGAATGATTTACTGGATCTTACTTCCATTGATGGTGAGAAGTAAAAAACACTACATAGTTCAGGGAGATGGTGGTGGTGGCTTTTCTACATCTTGGAGGGGAAAAATCAAGTTTTACTGAGGGTCTTAGAAAAGCTTTGACTTCAGAAGAATTAGAATTTAATGTTTGATGGGAGATTTAGTATTTTTTGAAGTAGATTTTGAAGTTTTGATGATACAACATTTTGGCTTTACTGAAGATTCTAAGCCCTAACTTACTGTATCAAAGTGAATTCATTTAGCTAAAAATAAAATGTTTAAGTGATTTCAGATTTAACCTCTTTGTCTGCCAAACTCATATTCTGTTTAGTTAGTACTTGCACCTCTTAAAAAAGTCATGGAAAATACTACTGATAGATTTGTTGTTATTTCATGTTTTAGCTGTTTGTTCCTTAGTATATAAATCAGATTTATGTGAAGGCTTTTCTTTTGTAATTTAAGAGAACTTGGTATCTGTCTGGCTATATCTGAAATCTGTGGTTTGTATTTAATTTTTGGTAGAAATCTATAATTTCCCATTATTGAGTAATATACTCTGATATTTAGGCATTCATCTTTCATTCCATCCATCCATTCCCTCACATGGTAAACAATTATTAAAACCTACTGTATCCTGTTAGGGGCAGCAGAGAATAAGATGGTTAGGTAGCATTACCAGCTCTGTGAACATGAATTTGAGCAAACTCCAGGAGATACTGGAGGACAGAGAAGCCTGGTGTGCTACAGTCCATGAGGTTGCAGGGTTGGACATGACTTTGCAGCTGAACAACAATACTAAATGCTAATTATGGCACGGATAGTATGAATACCCAGACGAATGTATGCCCTTGAGGCTATCAGCCTTTTGAGAGAGACTGACATTTACATCTCATATTTTTGGTACTTTGCTAAAACAGTTTTTATAGCTTTGTTAATCTAGAACAGCGATCTTAAAATTTTTACTCAAATGTTCCCTGAAACAGTTTTGAAAAACTGTGTTCCTTTGTACATAGTTAAATTGATAAGTATAATTTTTCAGCAGAATTTTTGTGTAAATGAATTGACCCACTCCAGTATTCTTGCCTGAAGAAACAGTCGGACACGACTAAGTGACTAACTTTCCACTTTCACAGTTTGTATTAGTTTCAGGTGTATGGCAAAGTGATTCAGATGGCTTTCCCATTATAGGGTACTAAATAGTGTGTATCTGTTGACCCCAAACTCTTGTTACTCCCTGCTCACCTCCCCCCTACCCACTGTGTTCCCCTTCGGCAGCCACAAGTTTGTTTTCCATGTTCAGTCTATTTCTGTTTTAACAGAAGTATGCATAGTGACACAGGATGAAATTACTGGCATACTTTAATATTTTAAATAAAATAGAGCACTCTTAAATTTATCTTAGGGAATCTAAATGCCATTTTTTTAAAATATAAAAAGAAACTTCAGTGGTTGGAAATTTTAATTATTTTTCCTTTCAACTTATATGGTAGTCTGTTACTCCTGCTGAATTTTATGCAAGTTTTACATATTTTAGTGTTCAGGAATCTTCTGTTGATCATCTATCAAACTCCTTTGTCACGGCACTGTGTATATGCAATAAGGGATGTTTTCCCTATGATCATAAGGGTTAAATATTTTCTGGTTTGAGTTACAATTATTCTTACCACATAGTTGCTTGGAATAACATAAATACATTAAAATTTTGATTAAAATGTACTTTGTATGTAATTATACAACAAATCAATTTTTACTGAAATAAATGGAGCTGTCTTTCTCCAGTGGTTCTTGTATCTGGAGATAATATTTTTTAATAGAATGAAATAGGATTTGACATCAATTTCTGGTCTTATTTTGAGATTTTGTAGTGCTGAAATATAAATATGTTTATTGATAATAAATATGTTTATTCTAATAGAAATTTTGTGGTAGAAAACCTTACAGGTTGTGTGCCAAAAATCACAGTGACTTATCATCAATCATTTCTCAGTTGACAGTTCTAAGGTCCTCCTTCAGTTTTGTTGAATGCAAAAGAATGGGAATCACCTAATTAGCCAAAGAATTTGTTACCTTGTCCTTAACCATTTGTCTAGTTCTACGACATAAGTCAAAAAAGTTTTATCGAGACTCAATAAATAAGTGATTATATCAGTTTCCTCCTCTTCTCCGTTCAGGCACTTTTGTTAATCTCATACATTCAGAAGCAGTTGAAAAATAAAAAGGCTAGTTTCAACAGTTTTCCCAATGCAGTTTTTAATGAAATATTTTTATGTTTATAAATATATCTTTGCCAAAGCTGTCATGTTGAAGGTTTAACATATTCAATTTATGGAAATTTTTTCTTGGTTAATAAAGCTAGTTTCTACTCTTGGGCCAACAGTATATATCAAACTTATTTTTTAATCATTAAATATCTTTTACTGTTGTTGTTTTGTTCAGTCGCCCAACACTTTGTGACCCCATGGGCTGTAGCACGCCAGGCTTCCCTGTCCTTGACTATCTCCCGGAGTTTGCTCAAACTCATGTCCATTGAGTCAGTGATGCCATCCAACGATCTCATCCTCGTCATCCCCTTCTCCTCTTGCCTTCAGTCTTTCCTAGCATCAGGGTCTCTCCAGTGAGTCAGCTGTTTGCATCAGGTGGCCAGAGTATTGGAGCTTCAGCTTCAGTATCCGTCCTTCGAATGAATATTCAGGATTGATTTCCTTTAGAATTGACTGGTTTGATCTTGCTGTCCAAGAAACTCTCAAGAGTCTTCTCCAGCGCCACAGTTTGAAAGCATCAGTTCTTTGGTGCTCAGCCTTCTTTATGGTCCAACTCTCATATCTCTACATGCCTACTGGAAAAACCACAGCTTTGACTGTGTACCTTTGTCGGCAAATCAGTGCAGACAAGGACTGCAGCCATGAAATTAAATGCACCTTTAATCCATTGTCTAGGTTTGTCATAGCTTGTTTTCCAAGGAGCAAGCGTCTTTTAATTTCATGGCTGTAAGTCACCATCTGCAGTGATTTTGAAACCTAAGAAAATAAAGTCTGTCACTGTTTCCATTTTTCCCCCCATCTGTTTGCCATGAAGTGATGGGACTGGATGCCATGATCTTACTATTTTGAATGTTGAGTTTTAAACCAGGTTTTTCACTCTCTTTTTTTCACCTTCATCAAGAGGCCCTTTAGTTCCTCTTCACTTTCTACCATAAGGGTGGTGTCATCTGCATATCTGAGGTTATTGATACTTCTCCCAGCAATCTTGATTCCAGCTTGTGCTGCATCCAGCCCAGCATTTTGCATGATGTACACAGCATATAAGTTAAATAAACAGAGTGATAATATACAGCCTTGACATGCTCCTTTCCCAATTTGGAACCAGTCTGTTGTTCCATGTCCGGTTCTAGCCATTGTTTCTTTACCTGCATACAGATTTCTCGGGAGGCTGGTAAGGTGGTCTGGTATTCCCATCTCTTGAAGAATTTTCCACAGTTTGTTGTGATCTACACAGTCAAAGGCTTTAGCGTAGTTAATGAAGCAGAAGTAGATGTTTTTCTGGAACTCTTGCTTTTTCTGTGATCCAGCAGATGCTGGCAATTTGATCTCTGGTTCCTCTGCCATTTCTAAGTCCAGCTTATATATCTGGAAATTCTCGGTTCACGTACTGTTGAAGTCTAGCTTGGAGAGTTTTGAGCATTTCTTTGCTAGCATGTGAAATGAACACAATTGTGTGATAGTTTGAACATTCTTTGGCATTGCTGTTTTTTGGAATTGAAAACTGACTTTTTCCAGTTCTGTGGCCACTGTTTTCCAAATTTGCTGGCATATTGAGTGCAGCAGTTTAACAGCACCATCTTTTAGGATTTGAAATAGCTCAGCTGGAATTTCATCACCTCCACCAGCTTTGTTCATAGTAGTGCTTCCTAAGGCCCACTTGACTTCACATCCCAGGATGTCTGGCTCTAGGTGAGTGACCACACCTTCGTGGTTATCCGGGTCATAAAGACCTTTTTTGTATAGTTCTTCTGTGTATTCTTATTATCTTAATATCTTCTGCTTCTGTTAGGTCCATACCGTTTCTGTCCTTTATTGTGCCCATCTTTGTGTGAAATGTTCCCTTGGTTTCTCTAATTTTCTTGAAGAGATCTCTAGTCTTTCTCATTCTATTGTTTTCCTCTATTTCTTAGCATTGATCACTGAGGAAGGCTTTCTTCTCTCTCCTTGCTCTTCTTTGGAACTCTGCATTCAAATGGTATAACTTTCCTTTTCTCCTTTGCCTTTCGCTTCTGTTCATTTTTCAGCTATTTGTAAGGACTCCTCAGGCAACCTGCCTCTTGGCCTTTCTTTTTATTGGGGACGGTTTCGATCACTGCCTCCTGTACAATGTCACCAACCTCAGTCCATAGTTCTTCAGGTATTCTGCCTATCAGATCTAATCCCTTGAATCTATTTGTCATTTCCACTGTATAATAAGGGATTTGATTTAGTACCTACCTGAATGGCTAGTGGTTTTCCCTATGTTCAATTTGAGCCTGAATTTTGCAATGAGGAGCTGATGATCTGAGCCACAGTCAGCTCCATGTATTCTTTTTGCTGACTGTATAGAGCTTCTCCATCTTCGACTGTAAAGAAT